AATTCTTGTTTGTGTCAGAACTGAGTTATAGTCATGCGCCACATAATGATGTTTTGGTCAATGACGGACCACATATATGACGTCGGTCTCATAAGAGTATATTGGAGCTGAAAAATTCCTATTGCCTAGTGACATCATAGCCATCTTAACGTTGTAGTGCAATGCATTATGTGTTTGTGGTGTTGCTGGTGTAAATAAACCTACTGCACTGTCAATTGTCTAAAAGTATAGCACATACAGTTATGTATAGTTTATAATACTTGATAATGATAATAAATGACTCTGTTACTAGTTTCTCTGTTTATTATACTATACTTTTTATCCTATTGTTAACTTAGAGTATGCTTTTTCTACTTAAAAAAAATTTACTGTAAAACAACATGCTGTGTTAAACTGGCCTAAGCCTCGTACATCTTGTGTTTGCTACATCTCTTGAGTGCATCATTTGCTTTGTGCTTGATTTAATCTCAAGTTGTTTTGTTTATCATGGTACCTAAGCATACAAAATCCACTGCTATTCCTGCCAGTAAGAGGCTACATCGAGTATTGATCTGGAAACAAAATTAAAAGTGATTAAGGACTATGAAGATGGATAGTCATTGATAGCTTTTGCTCGCCAGTGAGGCATGTCCCATTCCAACATGTCCATAATCTTGAAGAATACGAACAAAGTGATAGGTGCTTAAAGGATCATCTCCATTGTAGGCAATGAGACTAATAAAAATTTGAGATGCGTCCATATCAGATATGGAGAAATTTCTAATGACCTAGATTAAAGATCAGACACAAAAGCAAATCTCTTTTAGTACCATGACGATCGCAGCCAAAGCAAAAAATGTGTTTGCGATGTTGAAAGAGAAGGGTGGATATGACTACAATGTTGAATTTACTGCTAGCTTTGGTTGGTTTAAACCAGGGGTCCTCAGCCCTGGGGCCACGGACCTGTCAGGAACCAAGCTTCACAGCAGGAAGTAAGTGGCAGGAGAGCGAGTGAAGCTTCATCTGTATTTGTAGCCGCTCCCCAGCTATAGCATCATTGCCTCAGCTCCACCTCAGATCATCAGGTATTAGATTCTCATAGGAGCACTGGTCCCTGGTGCCAAAAAGGTTGGGGACTGCTGATTTAAATCATTCAAGAATTGTTATTCATTACATAATATGAAAGTGAGTGGTGAATTTGTGAGGGCTGATGTGAAGGCAGCTGAAGAATTTTTGGAAACTAAATAAGCTGATTGTGGAGGAAAATTACTTGCCAAAGCAAATATTTAATACGAATGAACTCCCTATTCTGGACGTGGATGCCTCAAAGGACTTTCATCTATAAGGAGACCAAGTCAATGCTAGATTTCAAGGCTTTTAAGGACAGAATAATAGTCTGGCTTGGGGGCAATGTTGCAGATGACAAATTGAAACCCTTTGTGATCATTCACAGTAAGAACTTGAGAGCCTTCAAGCATATCAATAAACATGCTGCCAGTATACTGCAGGAGCAAGATGTCATGAATGACTTAGATTCTCTTCCAAGATGCTCTCCAGAATTGCTATGCCAGTGAAATGGAGTACTGTTTGGAGAGTAACATATTTTTCAAGATTTTTGTTTTTTGTTGATTATACTTCCAGACATCCTTCTTTTATTGGTGATCTTCATTCCAATCTCAAGGTGATATTTCTTCCTCCAAACAGTGGATCAAGGGTTATAGCATCTTTCAAGGCCTACTCCATGAGTAAGACCTTTGCCCAGGCTATTGATACAACTGAGAAGACACTGCTGCAGTTTTGGAAGGCTTACAACATCTATGACTGCATTAAGAACCTTGCTTGGGCTTGGTGTGATATCATCAATGAGTGTAGGAACGGCATCCTGAAGAAGACACTCAAGAAGTTCGTCCATGACTTTAAAGGATTTGCTAAGGATGAGAAGGTTGCAAAAATCAACAAGTCTGTGGTTGAGATGACAAACAACTTTAAACCTGGGTTCGGATGAGGATGACATTGAGGAGCTCCTAAAGGTGATTTCTGAGGGATTGACTAATCTGAGGAGTTTGGAACTGGAAAGGAACACATAGCCGAAGATGAGGCAAGAGAAAAGGAAACTGCAGGAGAAGAAAAAAGAACTCCCAAGAAAATTCGCACTGAAGGGGTTAGCAGAGCTTTTACAAACCTCAACAAAGAAAGCTATCTTTTATAAATCTAGTGTTTAGCCTAAGTATACAGTGTTTATAAAGTCTACAGTAGTGCACAGTGATGTCCTAGGCCTTTACATTCACCCACCACTCACTCACTGACTCACTCGCTGACTCACCCAGAGCAACTTCCAGTCCTACAAGCTCCATTCATGCACTATACAGGTGTACCATTTTTTTTCTTTTATACTGTATCTTTTCTATGTTCAGATACACAAATACTTAAACATTGTTACAGTTACCTATGGTATTCATTTTAGTACCATGCTGTACAGGTTTGCAGCCTAGGAGTAGCAGGCTATATACCATATAGACTAGGTGAAGAATAGGCTATTACAACTAGGTTTGTGTAAGTGCACTCTATGATGTTTGCATAACGACAAAATTTCCTATGGATTCATTTCTCAGAATGTATCCCCATCGTTAACTGACACATGACTGTATAGGAGACACACAGGAATGTTTTTTCTAGACACCTGCTATGATATTTTCTGGTTTTCCTTCTCCTCACGGTCTGTTCTTTCTCAAATCGTTTTGATAGTTACTTTGTTTGATGTCTAAATTTTGAAGTGCCTCAGGACTTGGTCCTGGGACCTCATTTCATTTCTAACTCTGCACTTCCCTCAGATACATAACCCAGTAGTATCATAACAGTACTAGTGAGGCCTGAATCTGTGTTCTAGCCCCAACCTCTCCCTGGAATGCTATTTTCATATATCCAACTATACTTTATATCTGTTTGATTATCGAATTTCAACTTCCCAAAATAAAACTCCATTCTCTACCAATACCCGCCATCTGCCCCAGTACCAACCAGTTCCTCAAATCAAAAATCTAAGTATTATTCCTGATTAGTGCCCTACCTCATTCAACTTATCAGTAGGTTTTGTAAATGCTATCTGCACAGTATATTCCACATCCTTCAATCTCATATTTATCATCACACAGTCATCTCTCAATTAGAATATTGTAACTGTCTCCTGCTTTCACTCTTGCCTTTCTCCTACAACCCATTCAGGCTTTGAAGCTGGAATTATTTTTCAAATACTTGAAATAGATGGTATCTCTTATATAAAATCTTCCATTTAAATCTTTCCCATTGCACTTCGAATAGAATCTTAATTTCTTATCCTGGCTTAACATGAGCTGATTCTTGCTTATCACTCTAACATTGTTTATACCATTATTCCTTTTTGCCCATTGTGTTGCAACTATTTTGGCTTTCTTTCAGGCCCTTAAATCAGCAAAATTTGTTAACTAACCTCAGGATCTTTGCACAGTTCTTTCTGATTCTCCCATGATTGGGTACATTTTGCCTTCTATTGTTAGAATAAATGTCACTTTAGGGTTTTTTTGACATTCAAATTAAAGTAGCAGTTAGATTACATTAACCCAATTTAGTTTCATCATAGCGCTCATTACTACCTGATACTTTCTTTTTCATGTTTTTGTTCCTAAGTTTATTTCTTTCTCCCTTTAGTGGCATGTAATTTCTATGAGAATAAAGACCTTGTCTATTTACTGCTTTATTTCTACTACCTAGTGCTGTATCTGGCATAATAATAGGCATTTAAGTACTTATTGAATATATACATATATAAAACATTAATGAATTTTTTATATATTTTCTAGTAATTCTATTTTTTGTGTTAATGTAACACTTTAATTATTTTTTTTAGAATGGGGATGGGATAGTTTTATTTTCCCCCAACTTTATTGAAGTATAATAGACAATTAGTTGCTCATATTTACACTGTACAATTCAGTGAGGTTTTTTTTCAGTTACAGTTGGCACACAATAATATATTAGTTTCAGTTGTACAGCATAGTGATTAGAAATCTATGTAACTCACAAAGTGGTCACCCCACTAAATCAGGTACCCTTCTTCCCCCTTACATAGTCAATAATGTAATATTGACTATTTCCCTTATGCTACACTTTATATCTCCATGACTATTTTGTAACTATCCATTTGTACTTCTTAATTCATTTGCCCTTTCTCACCATCTCCCCAAAGCCCCCCATCTAGTAGCCCTCAAAATAGTCTATCGACGAATTTGCTTCTGTTTTTGTTGTTGTTATTGTTTATTTTGTTCTTTAGATTCCACATGTATGTGAAATCATGTGGTATTTGTCTTTATCTAACTTACTTCATTCAGCGCAATACCCTCTAGGTCCATCAAGGCAATATTTTTTCCATCCCCTTCCTTTTAGTCTGTGTGTCTTTTAATCTGAAGTGAGTCTCTTGTAGGCAGCATATGTAGGGGTCTTGTTTTCTTACCCATTCAGCTTCCTTATCTTTTGGTTGGAGCACTTAACTCTTCCATTTGAGGTACTTGTTGATAAAAATGTAGTTATTACCATTCTGCATTCATGATTTTGATAACATGTTTTTTTCTTCTTAAGTCTCTCCAAGAATTCCTGTAATACTGGCTTGGTGTTGATGAATTCCTTTTGCTTATTTTTGTCTGGGAAGCTCTTTGTCTGTCCTTCAAATCTAAATGATAGCTTTGCTGGATAAAATATTCTTGGTTGTAGATCCCGGGTTTTTCAACACGTCAAATATTTGGTGCCAAGCCCTTCTGCATGCAAAGTTTCTTTTGAGAAATCAGCTACCAGTCTTATGGGAGCTTCCTTGTAGGTAACTAATTGCTTTTCTCTTGCTGCTTTTAAGATTCTCTCTTTGTATTTAACGTTCAGCATTTTAATTATGATGTGTCTTGGTGTGGACTTCTTTGAGTTTATTTTTTGGGGGACTGTCTGAGCTTCCTGGGGTTGTATGTCTATTTCCTTCACCAGGTTAGGGAAGTTTTCTATCATTATTTCTTCGAGTAGCTCTTCAATTTCTTGTTCTCCCTCTTCAGGAACCCCGATGACACGGACATTGTTAACCTTAATTTTGGCCCTTAATAAGGCCCCTTATATTATTATTTTATTCTTGGTTCCTTTTTTCTTGCCGTTCTGGTTTGGTGTCTTTAGCTTTCCCATCCTCTTTATCAGTGTTTCGATCCTCTTCTTCCTCCACTCTGTTGATTCCCTCTAATAAACTCTTCATCTCAGATAATGTGTTCTTCATTTCTGACTGGTTCCCTTTTATAATTTCAGTTTCCATTTTTATGTTTTGTGTCTTTTTGTTAAAGTCCTCACTGAGTTCATCTACGCTTCTCCTAAGTTCATTGAGCATCTTTATAACCAGTGTTTTCAATTCTGCATCTGTTAGGTTGCTTGACTGCATTATTCCTGGATCTCTGTTCTGTTCTCTCATATGGTTTCTGCTTCCTTATATTCTCATTTTGACTGCCTTTCTGTGTCTGTTTATATATATACATACATATACATATATATATATGTATGTATATATATACACACACACACATACATATATATATATGTGTGTATATATATGTATGTATATATTAAGTGAAACTCTTAAGTCTTCTGGTCTTATTAGTGTGGCTTTGTGTGGTAGGTGTCCAGTGGCACAGTCCTGAGGGGTTCAGCTGCAGGCCAAATTTAGCCTCAGCCTGTGCCCTTCCGGGGCCACCTGTTAAGATTCAGCAGATGCTGTGCTTATAGTTGCCTCAAGAAGCCCCACCAGAAACCGAGGTCAGCTGCCACCAGTGTGTGTCTTGGCGCTGCTCTGCAAGTGGGACAAGAATTGCCAAGAACACAACTGAATGTGGCTTGGGTGGGACTGCAAGTTGGGGGCGGTGGAGTTTCAGGGAATCCTCTGGGCAGAGCGACCTCTGTTATCCAGTTTGATAACATCACAGCTATGGTGACGCTGTGTCCAGCGCACTGCTAGGGGGTAGGACTCAACAGGGAACAATGGATACCGCCAGCACTTCTGTACAGAGCAAGTTTCACCTCAGCCCTCACTGTGGCAATGTCTCCCTGTAAGTCTCTGGTGCTCCCTGCGTGCAGCGGAATTGGCACTGGTGCTCAGAGCGAGCAGATCCGTCTCCGTGAAAATCCGCTCCCAGGCACAGCCCCATTAAGAGGCGTCTGCCAATGCTGCTGCTACTGCCGCAGCCTCTATGTCACTCAGCCACTAGAGACTGGACAGCCTCACGTCCTCGCTCTGTCCTACCTTCTGCCGTTGCAAGGTGATTTCTTGGATTTCTCCCTAGTTGTATGGCTTGTTCGTCTAGATATCAGGTGATTTTTCCTTGCTGTTGCTCCTTGTTTCCGTCACAAATTTTATTTGGTTACTAGAGGGATGAACAGAGCCTCTATCTATGCCATTTGTTTTCCTCCTATGCTCGTCTCAACTTTAATGTGGTCACAAGACAGTTTGAGCGAAGCTTCTTTATTTCCTTTCATGTGCATTTGGGATAAACTCTTCTTAAGACATGGCTCTTAGTTGGAGAGACTGTCAAGTAAAGCAGTGTGGATCCACAAAACACAGCTGGGAAACCATGTGTATGTTTCTCTTTTCTGAAAACAAACAAACAAAACTTTTTATCTGTATAAATGTTTATTTTGCAATTGAGATTTTCATGCTTTTAAAAAGATGTCTTAATCCACATTTGTGTCCTAAGAGCTTTAAGGAATATAGATTAACTGTACCTCAGGTCTTGTTCTGTTGAAATAGGTGATAATAGTTGATAGAATTGTTTTATTTTGTTCCAGTTGGTTAGAAGCAAACTCTGAACATCTCGTGGAACGGGATTATGAATCATCATGTAAAATATGGAGTGGAAGTGAAATGCTCTTAAATTTACAAAAAATGGGCATTACCACAGCTACTTTTCCCATTTTGCAGGTAAGATTTTTTTTTTCCCCACCTGTGAAATTCATTTACTGAATTAGAAATGACTTAATAATGAATAAGTTAATTCATGGTAAAAAATATATATAGCAATTTCATTGTTTTAAATTTTATTATCTAAGTTCGATAATCTTTAAGTGTGATGACATAAATTATGGATGAAAAAGCATGATTTAGTTTGAAGGAAATAAGGCTTAAAGGAATTAATTGCTTGTTCAAAACTAAAAGAAGTCAGTATTTTTAGGTTGTAAATTTACTTTGTCAGTTAAAAAGTTAAAAATTGGTAAAATAAAAAGATAAGAAATTCTTATTTTGTTCTCTTTAATTCAGAGGTTATAAACCTGGGTGGATAGAGATCTTGAATGGGCTATAGGATACTGTGAACATTATGAAATTGTATGCAAAATCTTATAAGTATGTACTTTTGTACATTTTTCTGGATAAAGGTTTCATGACATTTATTCTCAAAGAGATTTCTTTTCCAGATGAGAATATTTTTCTTTTTTGTTTGTAATTATTTATTTAGATTAAAAGACTACTTTTTAGAGTGGTCATTTTAGATTTACGGAAAAATTTAGCAGAAAGGACAGAATATTTAAATACTACCACCCCCAGCCATACACTTACACACTCACACAGATACTACAGTTTCTCCTATTATTAACATCATGCAATAGTATAGTGCATTTATCACAGTTGAACCCATATCGTTATATTATTGTTAATTAAAGCCCATAGTTTACATTAAGGTTCATTCTTTGTGTTGTACAGGTCTGTGAATTTCGATAAAAATATAAAGTCATGTATCTACCAATACAATATCATACAGAATTTTTCACTGCCTTAAAAATCTTTGCACTTATTCATTCCTTCACCGCACTTCATTTCCCTTGCTAAACCCCTGGTAACCATTAAATTTTTTTTTTTTTTTTTTTTTACCGACCTCATATTTTTTCCTTTTCCACAATATCATATAGTTGAACTCATGCAGTGTGTGCCTTTATAGACTGGTTTCTTTTACTTAGCAGTGTGCATCTAAGGTTCCTCTATGCCTTTTCGTGGCTTGATATCTCGTTTCTTTTTATTGCTGAACAATAGTCACTGTATGTATGCACCACAGTTGTTTACCCATTCACCTATTGAAGGACATATTGGTAGTTTATGAGTTTTGGCAATTATAAATAGAGCTGCTATAAACATTGTGCGCATGTTTTTGTGTGAACATGCTTTCTTCTCATTTAGGTAAATATTTAGGAGTACATTTGTTGGATTATATGTATATCTAAGACTATGTTTAGCTTTGCAAGAAACTGCAAAGTGGCTGTACCAAAGTGGTTGTACCACTTTACATTCCCAGCATCAGTAAATGAGAGTTTCTGTTGTTCGATATTATTGCCAACATTTTGTGTTGTCAGTGCTTTGAATGTTAGCCATTCTAATAGATGCGTAGTGGTATCTCAATGTTGTTTTACAATTCCCTAATGACATATGATTTGGAGTATCTTTTCACATGCTTATTTGCCATCTACATATTTTATTTGGCGAGGTGTTTGTCTCTTCAGATCTTTTGCCTACCTTTCAATTGGGTTGTCTGTTTTCTTATCGTTGAGTTTTAAGAGTTCTCCGTATATTTTGTATATAAGTCCTTCATGAGATGTGTGTTTGCAAATATATTCTCCCAGCCTGTGGCTTGTCTTTTCATTATATTAACAGCATCTTTCATAGAGCATAAGTTTTTACTTTTAATAAAGTTCAACTTATCAGTTTTTTGTTGTTGTTGTTATTGTTGGTTTTTTTGATGAATCATGCCTTTAGTGTTACCTCTAAAAACTCATCACCAAACCCAAGGTCACCTAGATTTTCTCCTGTCTTTTCTTCTAGAAGTTTTAGCTTTGTGTTTTACATTTAGGTCTGTGATCCATTTTAAGTTAATTTTTGTGAAGGCCTGTGTCTGAATTCATTTCTTTGTATGTGGACATCCAGTTATTTCAACACTATTTGTTGAAGAGACTCATTTTGCTTCATTGTATTGCCTTTGCTCCTTTGTCAAAGATCAGTTGACAATATTTATGTAGATCTGTTTCTGGGACATCGTTCTTTTCCACTGATCTGTTTGTCTGTTCCTTCACCAGTACCATTGTATTGGCTATTCTGGGTCTTTTATCTTTCCATATAAGCTTGTATCAGTTTGTCAATATTTACGAAGTAATTTGCTTGGATTTTGATTGGGATTACATTAAAACTATAGATCAAGCTGGGAAGAACCGACATCTGGACAATATTGTCTTCCTATTCATGAACATGGAATATCTCTCCATTTATTTAGATTCTCTGACTTTTTAAATCAGTGTTTTATGGTTTTTCTCATATAGATTTAAAGAGGTTTTTGAACTCCAAAATATAACTATTGCTAAAATGATCATGTGCATTCTGGGCTTGTGAGTATTAAAAATATATTTTAATCAAACTATACTTATAGTTTTTGCCCTACAATTAAAAGATGCCATGTAATATCATAAGTATTTTTCCATATTGTAATCTTTTTATGATTTTTTTGCGTAGACTTTTTGCATTTTAAAGGTTATTCATATGAGCAGTAAAACGGATAAATTGCGGGATATTCATCTAGTAAAATAGTACACAGCAATTAAAAAAATGAACCACTGCCATCACAACCATAGGAATGAATCTTACAAACATAATGTTGAGTGAAAGGAACCAGACACAAAAGACTACAAACTGTATGATTTCATTTTTTGTGAAATTTAAGAACAGATATACATAATTATACTAATAGAAGTCAGAATACTGGTAACCCTGTTTAGGGGTACGGAGCAGGTTGGTCTGAGAATGGGCGGAAGAGAACCATCTAGGATTCAAGGAATGTTTTGTATCCTGATTGAGTGCTGGTTATATGGATGTGTGTGTTTAGTGGGTTATACACTCAAGATTCATGCACTGTGTATATTATGGTTTAATAAAAATATACGAATAAAATATATGTCAAAGAAAAAACTTGGAAAATACTGAAAAGCACAAAAGAAAAAAAACTCAAAGGTGATCATTATTAATTTTTGCATTTATATCTACCTGTGCTTACTTCTCTGCATGTATTTGCTTAACAAATTTATATCTGATATGATAAAATTTTTTAGCTTCTTTTTATTTAACAATACATTATGAGTACTTTTCTATATTGAAATATATTTCAATGATTTTTAGTTACAGTGTAGCGTTTTTGTGAGTGCACATATTCTAAATTATTTGATTAATCTGGCATTTTAAATATAGATTGTTGCCAGTTTTCCCAGAATAAGAAACAATTCTGACTGAACATTCTTGAAAATATATCTTTGTTTATGTCTCTGATTATTTCCTTTATATATTCTAAATGTTAATTATTTGTTGCTATGGATGTGTGTTATTTCACAATATATCTGAATATTAAAATTGATCTGTTTTATTTATCTTAACTGTTTCCTCATTTTATTTTTATTGAACATATATTTTATTGTCAAACATCACAGTTGTCACCAGTATTTTTTATTGCTTCAATATTCAGAGTTTTCTCTTTCACAATGTGGGAAAGCATACTTTTTTTTTTAAATAATTTTGTTTTAATGTCCATAATTCCATCTGTATTAAAACTTAGGAGCCACATAAAAACTAATGAGCCAGTTAGCATCCTTTTTGTATTTAGCATGTATTGTTCCCTTGAATCATTCTTTTAATTTTTCTTGTAATATATTATTCTCAACATCAGAGTACTCTGGAAATAATTCAGGTATTTAGGCGACATATCAACTCTCTTAAGCTCCTTGGAGAAACCACTTGGTAGGTACATTTTTATATAGCTTATTACTTATGAAGGGCACTAAATAATTCCCTAATTGTCTGTAGAATTAATGAACCTCCTAAATGTATAACTTTATTAAAGTGTCTTTGACTCTGAAGAGAATTTGGGAATATGTGGGAATCTAAAGCATATTGTTAGCATGTGTGTATTAATAAATGTTTGCCTAAATTTTCAATGTGTATTTTATTTGGGTTTTATTAGAGTTTTGAGAAGTTTGTTTACCTGCCTCACCTTCCCTGGTATATGTAATATGGTGATTTCTTATAGGGACATTTTTCTGCTGTCCTTCAAAAAGAAGAAAAAATTTCATCAATTCATGGGAAAGAGGAGGCAAGAGAAGTACCTATTATTAGTGCTTCAACTCAGATAATGCTCAAAGGGCTTTTTATGGTCCTTGACTATCTTTTTAGGCAAAATGGCAGGTAAGTGAAGATATCTGATCTGTATTTCTCCTCTTAAACATATTAGCCTTATTGGGTGTTAGCATGTGTTTAATGCATTCTAATTTTGTATGAGTATATAGGATAATCATAAATAAGTGGTATAAATATTGCTCCTGCTTATTGGCGCAGACTCAGGTTAATTGCAATTAGTCTTTATTAATGAAAACGAATATTGAAATCAGTAAATAAATACATTTAATTAATTCAGCATTAAATTTATAGTTCTTTAAGACTAAACTTGAGCATTTAAGTTTTCTCTTAAGTGTATTTTAGACACATTTCTTCCAGTATTGGAAACTTTTTTTCTTACTGCATAAAGCCTCTGTTTAGTGAAATGTAGAAAATGAAAAACAATCAACTTCCTACACTCTACCCCTTGTTAAGTTACAGTGCTACCTAGTTCCAGTGCTTTTTTTTAGTGTTTCTTTTAATTGTGGTAATATATACATAGCAAAATTTATCATTTTAACCATTTTTAAGTGTACCATTGCAGTATCATTAAATAGATTCACGTTGTTGTGCAACCATCTCCACTGTTCATTTCCAGAACTTTTTCATCATCTCAAACAGGAGCTCTATTCCTATGAAACAGTATTTCCCAAATATTTTCAATTTCCCTCTCTTCGTAGCCTCTGATAAGTGGAATTTGATTTATGTTTTCCTAATGGCTAGAGATGTTGAGCATCTTATCATGTGCTTATTGTTCATTTGTTTATTTTTATTGGAGAAATATCTATTCAACCCTTTGTCTATTTTAGAATTGGGCTTTTTGTTGTTTTGTTGAGTTGTATAGTTATTTATATATTCTATATATTAATCCCGTATCAGATATATGCTTTACAAATATTTTCTCTCATTCTGTGGGTTGTCTTCTAACTCTTGATGGTCTTTTGATACACAAAAGTTTTTAAGTTTTGTTGAAGTGCAGTTTATCTACTTTTTCTTTTGTGACTTTTGTTTTCAGTATATCCAAGAATCATGGCTAAATCTGATGTCATGAAGATGTTTTTCTATGTTTTCTTCTAAGCGTTTTGTAGTTTTTAGCTCTTAGTATTTTTACAAAATCTCTCTGCAGATTGTACAGTTCCTGGCTTGAACTTTGAGATCTGATGTCTCTAAGGGCGAAATTAACTGTCAATATTGTGAGGACATGGTAGAGAATACCACATTTTATTCTGTTTAAGCCTAGGCATTTATAGCCTCTTTTTGAAAGAAATTATAAAATAATGAGATTACAAAAATCATCTGGTTTAGTACCTTCGTTAAAAATAGATGAAGACTGAGACCTAGATTTTAAAGGAACTTAAAATTTTTGTAATTAGCTTCCTAAACTTTTTAAACTTTCAGTAAAAATTGTCTATTTTCTCATATAATAAAGATGTATAAACCACTTTTTAGTTTCTTTAACAATAATCTTATTTATTTTGTAACTAATTATATAACAGAGTGCAAGGAACTCTGGACTAGGAGTTAGGAAACCTGGATTTTAATTCTGTCTCTGCCTTGATTTACGTAATGTTTGAACATAGGGATGTGAAGTGGTAAAGGGTGGATGGTTAGATGATGTCTAATCTTTAAGAGGGGGTTGCTTCTAAGATTTAATGGCTTATTTTCTATGAGAATAACTGAATTTAATTAGTGGTGGGTGTTGTTTGTGGGGAAAATGTAATCTTTAAGTGGGAAGATCCCAAGACTCCCAATTTAGTTTTAATGTAATTAGTTTTTATATTGTATGTAGCTGGAACATTATATGTTGTATAAAGTTTTGCCATTTAATTACCATTTTACTTTCACTTAGGTTTGCGGATGATTATAAAGTTGCTATTCAACAGACTTACTCTTGGATAAATCAGACTGATGCATTAGATAAAAACGGGTTCTTGGTTCTACCAAAAAATAAGAAATGTTTACGACAGAAAACTGCAGTTCATGTGCTAAACTTTTGGTGCTTAAATCCAGCCGTGGTAAGCTTATTATTATGTATGAAAATTCTGTCTTCTAACTCAATACAAACAGTAAAATAAATGCTCTTTTAAAGATGATTTTAATGTCTAATGTTTCCGTTTAGGCCTTTTCGGATATTAATGACAAAGTGTGGACAATTGTTTTGACATCTGGGACATTATCACCGATGAAATCCTTTTCATCAGAACTTGGTGTTACATTTACTATCCAGCTGGAGGCCAATCATGTCATTAATAACTCACAGGTTAGGATTATTTTTTTTGAAGGTTTTTAGTCTTTTTACCTCAATATAATTCCTCATAAGCAAATTGGAAGGGACCTGAAGTACTGGTAAACAGATCCTGATAGGAAATTTAATATTTCAGTCTTAGAATCAAAGAAAATGTGTCAGCTACTTGATAATGTCAACAAAAAGAAATACTAATAAATTCATTTCTTCAACCCAGTGAGTAAAAATATACACTTTGGATGCAAAGACTATATTACAATTTCCTCATTAAATAAATTTTAGTGTTTTTTAATGAAAATGAAAACAAAACAAAATTCAGCTTCTTTGCCATAGTTCCTATGGTATAATTATTTGTTTATGTGTTTCTCTTTTCTGTTAGACTATGGTGTATCCTTATTCTTCTCTTCATGTCTCCATTCTACTGCACTGAGATTCATTTCTGGCATTAGTTTGCAAATGTTTAGCACATGTTTGAATATCTGAAATTAATTAGAAGTATTCTTATGAGTCCTATGCCTTAAAATTGTAATTTTTTATAACAATACCATATAAATGTTATTTTGATTTTCCTAGGAATGTTTTAATTGTCATTTGTCAATCTACCTTCTGTTTTGTTTTTTGTTTTTGTAAATAATTTAAAGCAGTGAGCTACAAGCTTAACATCACTTATGTGCCTTACATGATTCTAGTTCTTTTTAAAGCTGCAATTTTCAACCAGGGTATATTTGTGGGGACATTTTTCTTTCTTACAGTGAGTTTGGACGTAATACTGGCATTTAGTAGGTAAGAGCCTTGAATGCTAAGCTGCTATATAACTAAGTGTGCTTTTCAAAATGCCAGAGTGCTCCTGTTTAGAAACATTGCTATAAACAATAGTGCAGGAAAAATACATGTTCCACTTTTTAAAGTTGCTTTCTTTACAGGCTCAAGTAAATATGGGAAGGTATTGGTAGATTCAGCATATATTTTCTCATGAGAATGTTATTATAGGCTCTGTGTTCTCAATCTAGTGCATAAAAGCTCATTTCACCTGTAATGTCACTGAATTATGATAATAATAATGCTAGTTATTCAGCTGAATTACATTGTACTATAATATTTTCCTCCAGCTTTTTAAAAATTTATTTTTTAATTTTAACTGTGATAAAATACACATAACATAAAATTTACTATTGTAACCATTTTAAGTGTACAGTTCAGTCTTGTTAAATACATCCACATAGTTGTACAACCAATCTCTAGAACTTTTTTATCCTGCAAATCTGAAGTTCTATACTCATTAAACAATGATTCTTCATTTCCTGCTCCTCCTAGCCCCTGGTAACTACCATTCTGCTTTCTGTTACTATGAATTTGACTATTCTAGATACGATACCTCATAGAAGAGGAAACATAAGGTATTTTCCTTTTTGTGATTAGCTTATTTCACTTAGTATGGTGCCTTTTCGAGGTTCATTCATGTTTTAACATAATGAGGATTTCCTTCCTTTTTAATACTGAATAATATTTTATCGTATGTATGTATATAGCACATTTCGTTTGTCCGTTCATTCAGTTCCCCTAACTTTTTATTTTAAAAAACTATAAACTTCAGGAAAGAAGAAAAAATAGTATTAATATAGAAAACATCTTATACCCCTCACCTAGATTCATTAGTTGTTAATATTTTGCGTATATATATATATATATATAAGAGAGAGGAGGAATACTGCAAAATGTTAAAAATTACATTACACATGTGTATACTATATAATATATATATACATGTGGTCATACCCAAGAAATTCAGTATTAATACAGTAGAGTAATATTTATGTATCTTCATTTATTCCCAAAATGTCTTTTAACCTATTTATTTTTCTTATTTTTGATCTAGGATCCAGACAAGTATTATATATTATGTTTGGTTTTCATGTCTCTTTAGTCTTTAAAATAGTTTTCTTGCCCTGTTTTTGTCTTTCATGACATTTTTTAAAGAATTCAAGTCACCAGTTATCTTGAGGAATGTTTTATAATTTGGATTTATCTGATTGTTTCCTCATGATAAGATTCAGGTTAACAATTTGGTAAGAATACTATACAGTTGGTATTGTTACTTCTCATTGCATCATATCAGGAAACACCTAACAGTTTGTCTTATTACTAGTTGACTATTTAAGTAAAAGTTGGTTAAACTGGTGTCTATCAGATGTCAACTTGCAAAATATACTTCAGTCTCATATATCATTTCAAAATATAGGACTATTACTGTTTTTTTTTTACAATCTGAAGTATTTGTATTGTCTGTAGATTACTGATAAAGTTTCTTCTTTCTCTTAGTCAAATTAGCTACACTAAGGCTTGAATCTGTATGAGTGTAGAAGAATTCCACAGAACTATAAAATTTGGTGGGTCTGATTTTTTATGACTGTAGATCTCTGAGTAACAGTGAATTTGTGAAACTGTAGTTTGTCATAGTTGAGTCTTAGAAACTTACATATAGCAGATCATACCAGCCCTCACCTCTAATATTTGGGAATCATTTCTGATTTATTCATTTCGTTTATTCATATCCTCCAACAGAATTTTGTTACATGCTTAATCTTACAACGCTATTTAGGAAATAGATAAGTAAAATCCATTTTGCTTTCATTAAGAGAATTCAGTGGTCTGCCTAAAAGTAAAACTTCTATAAATTAAATATATGTATAATTATATAAAGGTAACAGAAAAAGCCAACGATTTTTGAATAAATGTTCTTTAAACTTGTTTCTTGATCTTCTTTTGACGTATACATAAATAATGCTAATTTGCCTGCCTAGTTTAGTCATAACTCTAATACAGACATATTTATATTCTAGGTTTGGGTTGGCACCATTGGATCAGGCCCCAAGGGTCAGAATCTCTGTGCTACTTTCCAGCACACAGAAACATTTGCATTCCAAGATGAAGTAGGAGCACTTTTGTTATCTGTGTGCCAGACTGTAAGCCAAGGAATTTTGTGTTTCTTGCCATCTTACAAGGTAAGGGAATAATTGTTTCATTTGCCTTTAAAAAATCATGTGGGATTACCATGATAAGCTTCCCAGGGTCAGAAGCAACAGGGGAATTATAGTTTTTTAAACATCATATATTGTTTTACTTATTTATTGATTAAGACACTGCTTGATTGTTCTCTGTTTTACTTGAAAATTTAAAAGACTAAGTCTTCAAGCAATGTTAGTTACATAAGAGGACTACTGATGTGTATGGGCTTTTTATTCTTAGGGCAGCTTGATGTTTTCATATTTGAAGGGAAAGAACATCCTATTTCACTTTCATAAATTACGCTTTCAAAAGTTTCAGTAATCTTAATCTAAAGTCAAACTTTCTTTGTTACCCTTCTTTTTACTTTATGTTTCAGGCTAGAAGAAAGGATTTTTCTTGTTTTTAGACTCACTCTGATTTTTTTAGTAATATTTTCTTGAGTTGAATTCAGTCAATAGTATATTTTGGTCCTTCTAATATTCAAAGCATTAAAACCACATATAATTCTTGAGTGGTATATTTTTCAAAATCTAAGCTAAATTCAATGTAGAGAAGTGGTATTTCAATTTCTTTTTTCATAAGAAGTTATATCTGTAAAGATAGTAGTATAAGTAATATATTGGAATGACAATGTTGATACTTTTGGCTTTCTTACTGTCTTTCCATCTATGTGCATATTGCTATAGTCTGAATATGACCCTACAAAATTTCATATATTGAAATCCTAACCTGCAAAGATGATGATGGTTAGGAAGTGGGACCTTTGGGAGGTGCTTAAGTCATGAGAATAGAATTCTCATAAGTAAGATTAGTGTCTTATAAAAGAGGTTGCAGAGGGATCCCTTGCACCTTCTACCTTGTGAGGACACAGTGAGAAGGTGCCAGCTATGAATCAGGAAGAGGTCTCTCAGAAAGTATGACCACACTGGTACCTTGATCTTGGCCTTTCCTGCACCCAGAACTGTAAGCAATAAAATTCTGTTGTTTATAAACTACCCACTCTGGGGTATTGCAGCTAAGACACATACTTTGTTAGCCAGAGATGCAGTAAATTAGTCCTCCTGTAGATAAATTGAAGGAATTGCTTTTAGAAGAAATTTAATCAGATTTTTTATAGGGATTTCTAAAAATAGACGGACATAAACATCTTAAAAATTCTTAATAGAAAGCATTATTTATTTCAGAGTGTGAACATCTATACCATATAGTTATATTAAAGAAAACTAATAATTAAGCCTGGAACTAAAGTAAAACAAAATCTCAACACATTAATAAAACCTTTTTATATTTTCTAATCACAGTCATAAAAAGCGAGCCAGGAAATAAATGCCCGGTTGAGTAAATGAATAATTTCATTTTTTGCTAGGCTTCAAAGACATGGTAAGAATGATTCTTTACATATCAGGAAGCAGTTTAGTATTTTTTTTTTCTTGGTATATATAGAGGAGAAGCAAATCTAATCTAAAGTAATTTAAATGGAAAATAACATAATTGTCAACAAAAAAGTTACAGTGGAACTTTTGTTTGTTGAACAACACACCAAACTTTCTGGTACTAGTGTTCTCAAACGATATAATTTTCATTAGCCAGTTTCAGTAGTTCAAAATAAAATATATTCTAATTATTAATGTATTGAGGTGAAATATCAGTTGATAGAAGGAGAGTAACTACATGTAAATGGAATGTCACTTCCTAAGTTAATTATTTTGGAATAGATATAACAGTATTAATTTTACAGTTGCTGAAATTGACTACTGATTATTGGGTGACTATAGAGACTACAACATTTAAATATACTTTTTTGCAGATTTTTAATATATCGCATGTATATTAACTCTATAATACATATAAAAAATTTCCTTGGTTTTATACTTACTGAAATCATCATTGTAATTTCTTTTTTTTGAAACTTTAAAAAGTTTAACGTTATCAAATTAATTCTTAAACATCATTAAATAATAATAAAATGATTATAATGAAAAACAACAGTCGCCTGCCTCATGCCTCCTTACTTTCCAGTTCCACACCTCAGAGACTTCTTGAATCTTTGATTTATTCCTGTGATATTTATTTTTTTATTAGATAGAATATGCATAACATAACATTTGTCATTTTAACCATTTTAAGTGTAAAATTTAGTGGCATTAAATATGTTCGTAATTTATGCAACCATAACCACTGTCCATCTCTAGAACTTTTTAATATCCTAAACACAAACTAAGCATCCATGAAAGTGACTCCCAAGACCCCCTACCTATAGCCCCTGGTATCCTCTGTGCTACTTTCTCTAAGAGTTTGTCTATTCTAGGTACCTCATGTAAGTGGAATCATACAATATTTGTACTTTTTTGTTTGGCTTATTTCCCTTAGCATAATATTTTCAAGGTTTATCTATGTTGTAGCATGTATCATAATTTCATTCCTTTTTATGGCTGAATAATATTCTATTTTATACACACACAGTCACACACACATACACACAACAAATTTTGTTTATCCATTTATCAGTTGATGGTCACTTGGATTGTTTCTACATTTTGGCTACTGCGAATAATGCTACTATGAACATTGGTATACAAATATCTGCTTGAGCCTCTTGGCTACTGCGAATAATGCTGCTATGAACATTGGTATACAAATATCTGCTTGAGCCCCTGCTTTCAATTATTTTGGATATATACCTAGAAATGGGATTTCTTGGTCATATGGTAATTCTATATAACTTTTTTTGAGGAACTGACATAGTGTTTTCCACAGTGACTATACAATTTTAGATTCCTACCATCAATGCACAAAGATTTTCATTTTCTCTACATTCTTGACAACATTTTAAATTTTATTTTAAGGGTGATAGCCATCTTGATGGATAGGAAATGGCATCTCCCTGTGGTTTTGATTTACATCCTTCTAATGGTTAGTGATGTGCTTATTGTCCTTTTGTATATTTTCTTTGGGGAAATGTCTATTCAAATCCTTTCCTTATATGTAATAGGTTTTTTGTTGTTATTGTTGAGTTGTAGTGCTTAACATATATGCTTTGTAAATATTATCTCCCATTCTATGAGTTGGCTTTTCACTCTGTTGATAGTATCCTTTGATGCACAAAAGTTTTAAATTTTAATGAATTTCAATTATCTATTTTTCTTTGGTTATATGTGCTTTTGGTGTCATAACCAAGAAGTCATTGCCAAATACAATGTCATGAAGATTTCCCCCTATGTTTTCTCTAAGGTTTTAATAATTTAGTGGTTACATTTAGATCTTTAATCCATTTTGTGATAATTTTTATATATGGTGTAAGGTATGGATGTACTTCATTTTTGTCTTTGTGGATATCCAGTTTTCCTAGTGCCATTTGTCGAAAAGACTCTCCTTTCCCCATTAAATGGTCTTGCTATCCTTGTTTAAAACTCCTTGACCATTCATATAAGTGGTTATTTCTGGACTTTCTACTTTATTCCCTTGTCTATATATGTCATTATGCCATTACTGTTTCGATTACTTTAGTTTTGCATTAAGTTTTGAAATCAGTAAGTGTGAATCCTCCAACTTTGTTCTTTTTCAAAATTTTTTCTGGCTATTTGGAGTTTTTCAAGATTCCTTAGGCATTTTAGGATGAGTTTTTCTATTTCTGCAAAAGAATGCCATTGGGGTTGCATTGAATCTGTATTTTGATGTATAACTTTATCCTAATATTGCTTTCCAATCTATGAACATGAGGTGTCTTTCCATTTATATATGTCTTCTTTAATCTTGTTCCACGGTGTTTAATAGTTTCCATGTAGAAATCTTTCATCTCCTTGGTTAAATTTATCCCTAAGTATTTTTTAAAATTCTGTTGCAAGTGGAATTGTTTTCTTAATTTTCTCGTTGGGTTGTTTATTGCCACTGTATGGAAATAGAAATAGATTTTTGCGTATTCATTCAACTTTGCTGAATTTATTATCTCTAGAATTTTTTGTAGAATATTTAAAGTTTTTATTTATAAGATCTTATCTACCGACAGAAATCATTTTACTTCTTCCTTACCAATTGGGATGCCTTTTATTTCTCTTTCTTGCCTCATTACTCTGGATAGACCTTCCATTACTGTGATGAATAGAAATGGTGCAAGCTGGCATCCTGGTTCCATTGAGTTTGATGTTAGCTTTTGGTTTTTCATATATTGCTATATCATGTTGAAAAGTTTCTTTCTATTCCTAGTTTATTGATCATTTTATATCATTGATGCTTTTTCTCCATTAATTGATAATCATGTAGGTTTTTGGGGTGAGGAGGAAGTCCGTAATTCTATTAATGTTGTGTATTACATTGATTGATTTTCATATGTTGAACTACTCTTGCATTTTGGGAATAAATCCCAGTTGATCATTGTGCATAATCCTTTTAGTATGTTGCTAAATTTGCTTTGCGAGTAGTATTTTGTTGAGGATTTTTGCATTGATATTCATAAGGGATATTGGTGTGTAGTTTCCTTCTGTAGTATCTTTGTTGGTCTTTGCTATCAGGGTAGTTTCATAGAATAAGTTAGTAAGTATTCTCTATTCAATTTTTTGGAAGAGTTAGCGTAGGATTGGTGTGAATTCTTTTTAATGTTTGGTAGAATTCACAAATGAAGCCATCTGGTTCAGGAATTTTCTTCATTGGAGGTTTTTGATTACTGATTCAATCTCCTTACTAGTTTTAAGTCTATTCCGATTTTCTATTTTTTTATGGTTCAGTTTTTGTAGCTTGTGTTTTTCTAGGAAGTCATTCATTTAATCTAGGTTATCCATTTTGGTGGCATACAATTCATAGTTCTTTTATAATTCATATTTTTTATAATCCTTATTTCTGTAAAATTAGTAGTGACTTCCCCATTTTCTTCTGTGGATTTAATAATTTGAGTCTTCTCTCTCTCTCTTTTTTTTCTTAATCTAGCTGAAGGTTTGCCAATTTTTTTGATCTTTTCAAAGAACCAGTTTTTGGTTTTGTTGATTTTCTCTATTGTTTTCTA